TTACAGTGACATATATTTATACAGTATAAAGGAATATCCGGCAGATCTCTGTAATATCTGTGATATGTTGATTTAGAGTTCTTTGGGTAAATACCTAAGAATTGTGTAGCTGTGTCAATTTATATCCTTTTTTGTGTAGCATTTATAGCTTTACAGATATAAGCATTCTTAAGTCCTTTTTTGGGGGCAGGTGCTCAATGTTTTGCCCAGGCTAGCTTCAAACTTATAATCTCCTGCCTCAGCCTCAACCGTGCTGAGATTGCAGGTATGACTCACAGGCAAAACATTTTTGTCATAAGCAATTGCCTTGGTATTCTTATGAGTCAAACTATCCCACCTTTGGTTAGTGGAAACCCTTCATGTTGGCCATGAAGCTCCACATCACCCATCCCAAGTGGTAATACACAAAGACAGATCAGACTCATAAGATAAGACATAAACAACAAAGCAGACAGTAGCAATTGCTGTCACACAGAAGTTTTACCAGTCTGAACAAAGAGAATTTAAATGATAAGAGGCTGTTTTAGTTGCCTCCTTACACAACCTCTGGACTGCCTGATGTCCCCACATTGGGCCGTTTCAAACTCTAAGTTTGGCCCTCAATGTCCTGTAAGGCTTTGTTGTACAGCTTTGATTTTGGAACCCAGCTGACGGCGCCAAGGTGCTGGACCACCGCAAGTTTGACTCAGTCCCCAGTGTCATCAGGACATGAAATCAGAGATCCAAGGCAGGTCAGAAAGCAACTGTTGTATTTTGTTTGAGTCTTAAAATGGTCTTATAATAAAAAAATAAAAAAAAATAAACATGTGCCAGATATTGGGGTGAAGCTGAAAGATCAGAGAAGCAGAACAAGCCACAGCCACCACCTCTTACCTCATCAACTCCTCAGCCTGAAAGAGCTCAGCCAATAGGCCTCTAGCCGAATGAGCTTCCTCAGCCAAAAAAGCTTTAGTTCCTGTCTCCTCATCCTTTATATACCTTTATCTACCTAGCCATCACTTCCTGGGATTAAAGGCATGTGTGCTTCCCAATACTGAGGAATACCAATACCAAATACCAAAAGGTATGTGTCACCACTGCCTGACTCTGTTTTCACTCCTAGACTGAGTCAATCTCATGTAGTCCAGGGTGGCTTTGAGCTCACAGAGATCCAGATGGATCTCTGCCTCCCAAGTGCTAAAATTAAAGATGTGTGCCACCACTGCCTAGCCTCTGTGTTTAATCTAGTGGCTTGTTCCCTTCTGTGATCTTCAGGCAAATTTTATTAGAGTATACAATATATCACCACACTGGTGGCTCTAGTCCAGTTATCGAGAATAACCAGAGGGCCATGGGACATCTCCCTGTACTTTAGACAAAGGATTTTGGGGTCTCATTAGATCCCTTTAATCCCCAGTAGGATACCCCCAAACCAGAATCTAGAAACCAGACAGAAAAGTGTCACAGAGCTTTTCTTTAAAAAAAAAAAAAAAAAAGCTTCTGGGAGGTCTCTATAAAAATGCATGCTACTTTTTTTCCAAGCTGCAGGAAGAGGGGTTCTCTGTGTAATAGCCCTGGTTGCCCTAGAACTCTCTTTGTAAACCAATCTGGCCTCAAACACAGAGATTGCCTGTAAAGATGTGAACCATCATACCAGGCTCTTTCCTTGGTGTTTTTGTGTTTCTGTATGAAGCAGAAGGTTGTTCTTTTAAAATCTGTGAAGAATTGTGTTGGCGTTTTGATGGGGATTGTATTGAATCTGTAGACTGCTTTTGGTAGGATGGCCATTTTGCTATGTTAATCCTAATGGTCCATGAGCATCGGAGATCTTTCCATCTTCTAATATCTTCTTCAATTTCTTAAAGTTTTTATTAGTTTCACTTGCTTGGTTAGAGTTACCCCAAGATGTTTTATATTATTTGAGGCTGTTACAAAAGATGCCACAACTTGAATCTTATGAAATCATGTTTAGACAGTTTCATTCCTAAAGGTTAGAGAGTATGTTTAAAATTCTTTAAAGAAAAAATCCTCATGTCTTCAAATTGATACTTCTAAGTCAAATTCTAGAATTTTTTATTTTTAGTACATTTGTGTGTGTGTGTGTGTGTGTGTGTGTCTGTGTGTGTGTGTGTGTCTGTGTGTGACACACATGCATGTCATAGCTTTTGTGTGAAGGTCAGAAGAAAATTTACAAAAGTGGGTTCCCTTGTTATATCCTGTGGGTCCCTAGAATTAAATTAAGGTCATAAATATCTTTGCCTGCTGAATCATCTCACTAGCCCTAATTCTTTTGATTAATTTTTCATCTGTTCATGTACATGTGGCATATTGAGCTGATTGAGGTAATGATGTTGGTACCTCTGAGAACTGAGACTTCTTACTAGAAAATAGAAATGACAAAGTATCTACCATTATTCAGTTTTTCTGATGGTTATATACAATACTACAAAAATGTTTATGTGGTTCTGAAGTGAAATCTAACAAACAAGATTATTAAGAGTAGCTCAGGGCTGGGGAAATTGCTCAGTGGATAAAATGTTTGGTGCCAAGTCTGATGAGCTCAATTCAATTCCTGAAACCAACAGGGAAGAGGGCAAAAAATAACTGACTTCTGCAAGTTGTCCTCAGGCCACTGCATATATGCTGTAGCATCTGTGCCCCCTAACATAAATAAGTAAATGTAAATTTTAAAAAGAGCAGTCCAGTCCTTTCCCTTTCTACCATACTCTCTTCTGTTCCTCACAGGTAACCTTTAGTGGAATTTAGTTTATCTTCGAATTGTTTTCATACAACAATGACCCTATATGAATATACTTAAACATTTATCTATACTCTACAGTATACAGGGGGCTTTTTTGTTTGGTTTGGTGTGGTTTTTAAGACGGGGTCCAATTGTTTAACCCTGGCTGGCCTGGGATTCACTGTGTAGACCAGGCTGGCTTTGAATTCACAGAAATCTCCTGCATATGCCTCCCAAGATACTGAGATAAAGATGTGTACCATCACACCTTGCCCCTATGCAGTTTAATTTGCCCCTTTTCACTTAGTTTTTGAGAACACATCAAATACATATGTGTGCATGTATATGAACTCGTTATTTCTTTTATGATAATATAGTGTGGCTATAACATAACTCATAATATCAGTAGAAATTTGGTTCAGTAAACATTTTAAGTATTTCATTGGTGCCATATGAGCTCTATTGTAAGTATTTAATTCCCTTAAATATCCATTTTGGTGAGCACTGTTTTATAGGTGGGAAAATTATACAAATAGATTAGATCAAGTGAAAAGCTGAGTCAGAATTCACTCCTGATCCAAATATTCCACATGACCTAAACCACAGGGTCATACTGCTTATGATCACCTAAGGAAGTTAAGATTTAGCAGATCCTAGATGGAGTTTGACTCCTAAATGCAACTTGTGAGACCCCTTCCTATGATTCAGTGTCCATCACTTGATAAGAACTTGTGCTTTTCTATCTAGAGAAAGGAAATCACAGGGAGGGAAACTACAACCATGTGACCTATTTTAAAATTCATTGCTACTGTAGTAAATCCTAGTACTATAAAATCTAAGAAACTTAAATAGTAGCTGTATTCTACTTGTTTCAACATTTCTCCGGGCTTGAATGTTTTCATATACAATCTTAGAAATTACAGAGGCTGGAGATGTAGCTCAGTGCTTAAGAGCACTTGTGTTGTTCTTTCACAGGACCTGGGTTCAGTTCCTGGCACTCACATGGTGATTCAAACCATCAGTAACTCCAGTTCCAGATCTGACTCCTGATTCTGACCTCTGTGGGCAGAAGGCACACACATTGTACACATACATGTACACAAAACACTTATACACATAAAATAAATAAGTAAAAAAAATTTAAGTAAACTATGAGATATAATTTATGTATATTGCAAAAAATGTCTGCTAAATTTTGTTGAATTTAGGATACTATTGATTTTAAGATGTGCCACTAAGAAATAAATATTGCCACTAATTAAGTTATGGCCTGTTGCCAGCATTGATATTTAAGGTATGTTTGGATTCAGAAATGTTAAAATGTGAAAATTTTATAGATTATGAATTATGAAATTAAAGGCAGAGTTGCAATTTAACTGTTTAAATGAGTGGTAGGGATTATTAAATATATTTTAATCAAAATTTAAAATATATAGGAAGGTCAGAGTAAGCTTTTGTAAAATGATAAAACTGCCTCTTAAAAGTTATCTAGATTCTGAATATAGCAAAATATAGAAGACAGGAGGGTAATATAAGGAAACATCACAAGTCATAGAGTTAAAATATGCACATATTTTAAGTGAAGTAGAGTGGTCAGTAGCAGAGTCAGTGGTGTTGAAAAACTGTATGTGTTGAGGGAGATCATACTTGTAAGCTCCAATTGAGAATAGTTTTGTTTTGTTGAGCTCATTATTCTAGATTTTCTGTGATATGGATCAGAATTATTAATATTGAGTTTAGGAAGTACAATGCTGCATTTTCCCTAGGTGGAAATAATATATGTTAGGTGTAGCCAGAAGTTCATATAATTATGCCAGCTGTATTGGCACATGCCTTTAACTCCAGCACTCGGGAGGCTGAGGCAGGTGGATTCTATGAGTTCAGGGTTAGTCTAGTCTACATGGTGAGTTCCAGGACCCCCAGATCTACATAGGAAAACCTTACCCAAAAAAAGTTCATATAACTAAGAAAATTAAGGGTTAGAGATGTTATGGGAAGTTTTTCTTGATCATAAAAAAGACAGTATATGAGAATTTACTAAAAGGTCCTCTCTCCTTTGGGACTCTGATAAAATGATGTGATAGTTTCATCTGGATCACAGGGAAAGCTCTTATGAGATGCCCTTAGAGGAAGCTAAGCCCAACCTCAGATCTGCTAGATCTGCATCTCAGGTGGTCAGTAGCTGTATGCCAGTAACAGTTGAGGTCATGGCATTTCTGAAAAAAAAGGCCTACTCCCCATAATGACAAGTATACACATGATTTACTGTGCTTTTTTTTAGAAGTCTGCCAAATTAATGAACAGTTTGAGAGGCAACATCAGGATAACCAAGATAAGTATCTGTTGATGCAATTTGGATTCTCTGAAGACAAAATAATTACCAAGAGTGACCAGAACTGTGCTGAATTTGAAAACACATTTCATCTGAGCACAAGCCTTGTTGTCCCAATGCAAAGAACCCACAAATTTGAATCATTTAGAAATAATATGGTGGACAATTTAAGCTTGCTTAGTAGAAGCTCTACAGAAAATAAACATGATACTGGGTATGCAAAGTTATTCTTCCATACAGAATATGAAAAACCTAATTTCATAGTGAAACCCTGTGGATATAAAGAATATGACAAAACCCTCAGGCGAAAGAAAGGTCTTAGCCTTCATCAGAGAATTAAAAATGGAGAGAAGCCTTTTGAATGTACTGCATGTCAGAAAACCTTCAGCAAAAAGTCACACCTCATTGTACATTGGAGAACTCATACAGGAGAGAAACCATTTGAGTGTACTGAATGTGGGAAAGCTTTTAGCCAAAAGTCCCAGCTCATTATACACCTCAGAACTCATACAGGAGAAAGACCCTTTGCATGTCCAGAATGTGGCAAAGCCTTCAGAGAAAAGTCAACTGTCATCATACATTATAGAACACATACAGGAGAGAAACCTTATGAATGTAATGAATGTGGAAAAGCCTTCACTCAGAAATCAAACCTCATTGTCCATAAAAAAACCCACACAGGAGAGAAAACCTATGAGTGTAATCAGTGCGGTAAGGCCTTTGCACAACACAATACTCTTCAAATGCATAAAAGAACACATACTGGAGAGAAAACCTATGAGTGTACCAAGTGTGGGGAATCTTTCATCCAGAAACTTGACCTAATTATACACCATAGTACTCACACAGGAAAGAAGCCTCATGAATGTAATGAATGTAAGAAAACATTCAGTGATAAGTCAACCCTCGTTATACATCAGAGAACTCACACTGGAGAGAAACCTCATAAATGTACTGAATGTGGGAAGTCTTTCAATGAGAAGTCAACCCTCATTGTGCATCAAAGAACTCATACTGGTGAGAAGCCCTATGAATGTGATGTGTGTGGGAAAACTTTCACTCAAAAGTCAAATCTAGGTGTGCATCAAAGAACTCATTCAGGAGAGAAACCATTTGAGTGTAATGAATGTGAGAAAGCCTTCTCTCAAAAATCCTATCTCATGCTACATCAGCGAGGCCACACTGGAGAGAAGCCCTATGAATGCAATGAATGTGAAAAGGCATTTTCTCAGAAGTCCTATCTCATTATACATCAAAGAACTCATACAGAAGAAAAACCCTTTAAGTGTAATGAGTGTGGAAAGGCATTCCGAGAAAAGTCAAAACTCATTATCCATCAGAGGATCCACACAGGAGAGAAACCCTATGAATGCCTTGTGTGCTGGAAAGCTTTTAGCCAGAAGTCACAGCTCATAATCCATCAGAGAACACACACAGGAGAAAAGCCCTATGAATGCACAGAATGTGGTAAAGCATTCAGGGAAAAATCCACATTCACAGTACATCAAAGAACTCACACTGGAGAGAAGCCCTATAAGTGTGCAGAATGTGGCAAAGCCTTTACCCAGAAATCCAACCTTATTGTACATCAGAGGACCCATACAGGAAAGAAGGCCCATGGAAGAGGCCATACCTGCAAGGCAAAACTCACTACAAAATATGGAACAAAGCACTAGTGTCTTTCATATACCCAAAAGGAAAGATGTGTTGATTTAATGTTGAAAAAGAATGACCTGAATTCTAGTCTAATCATTGGGATAGGGTCGGCATTTCTTTTCATCTATTTTCACCCTAATGCAGGTTGAAATAGAAACAGATGAGTAATTTCTTTGGAAACCACTGCAACCATAGGGCTGTGAGTCTAAAAGGCAATCAAACCCTAGTGCATGAGATTTCACAGCTTCAGAAGTGAGGCAGCATAGCTAAGGACTCTCCTCTGAGGGCTGAGGTACACGGTAAGGTGCATGACCAGAGACAGCTGTGACAAAGACCATGTGTGAGGCCTGAGGAGAAACGGGCAGACAGACCTTATATTTACAGAAAGTAATCAGACAGATTTGAGGGAGAGCTGGAGGTGGGGAAGCTGGGGCAGATAAAGGGATATAGTTAGTCTTCTTTACTGGCTTGGGAAAAGTAAAGTCTGAAAGAACTAACAGAAGGTAAGGGGTGTCTCATTTGTTTGAAAAACTGATCTGTCTAGAATGTGGCCCTGGCATCTTCCTCCACAAGAACCTCAGGCAAACAGCAAGTCCAGGAGCAACTCTTCTCATTCAAAGAAAAGCATTTAAAAGTAATAAAAATCACAAATACATTTCTACTTCTAGGAATACATATATTCACATGTGTACAAAGTGATCAAAACAGATATTTGTTGATGCAGTGTTTGAAAACAAAAGATTAGAAGCTTTCCAAATGGCATCGCCTGGATTCTTCTTCCTAAAACTGATATATATCCATACAGCAAACTCAAGACAAAAACGAACAAAAAGAATGTGGATATCATTTCTGTAATGGTTTGGGGTAGTCTCCAAGTTACATCATTAGATAGGAAAAGCAAGGTGCAACACAGCAAGTATAATGTGCTACTTCCAAAGGGGGAAATGGTAAGTACAGAGTACATTGTATGCATAATCTGTTTCTGGAAAGGAATATAAGAATCTGATTATCATTATTATCTTACAAAAGGGAAGGGGGCAGTATGTGACTAGGGAGATGAAACCTCGAGACACCTGTGCATTCTCTCATAGCTTTGGAAAGTTGTACAGTGTGGATATATAACCTTTTTGACAAATAAATCTTTAAAACCGTATTTCATTCCTTTAATAGTTAATTCTAGATACATAATTTATAACGTTTAGTGTATATAAGCTGAGTAGAGTTTATTTTCAGTGAATAAACTGAAATACTGGCAAACAGGAGCAAATATTCAATCAATTCCTAAAATATGTAGGCATTTTTTTCTAAGCATGAAGTAAAGTAATTCTAAGGTCATCTGGGACCATATTACATAAGCCTAAAATAACTGAAACTGGAATATATTTCATATTTAGGGTACACAGTGACACATGTGAGAAGTTACTTTATTAAAATTCATTGATATCTTTTCAAATCTTAAAATGATTTAAATGACTTCATATGCATACACTGTTTTTACAAGAAGCATAAAGTACCAATTCAATGGGAGGCAGAATAACTTGCTCCAAATATTACACAAGTGCTAGTAACATGGATTTCCCAAGATCACAGATGAAATCGAGACCCATGAGAACAATAAAACAACATTTGCTATAGAACAAGAGATCTTGTCTGTGAATTACTCTATTTGTAGCCCTCTTGATAATATGGCTATTCATTGAGTCTGTGCCTAGCATTATTAGGCAACCCAAGCTATGTAAAACCTAAAGGTCATCAGAGTTTATACTCAACAGATGAATTAGACTTGAGTCTGTACCTTTCTAGACCACCTTGTTTAAGACTGTGTGTGTGCATGTGCATGTGCTCATTGAGGCCATAGAGTCACTCCCAGCATATTTTTTGTCTATTTGTGTCCATATTTATTTTCTAGAGTCAGATCCTAAACGTTAAATTGCTTTGATATTGATTTCTAAATTGCATTTAGAAAGTTTAATACACTACTCTCAATAATCTTCTTTCAAACTCCATAGCCCCAGTCAAACACTAATGTATAAAATTTGCTGAACTTGGGTCCTCTGTAAGAGCTCACTTAAACACTGGGCCATTTTTCCAGCATCTTTTTTTTATTTATTTCTGGGGAGGGAAAGTGATCAGTAGGCTCAGGTTGGGATGGGGGGGTTGTTATTTCAGTGCTGGAGCTCAAACATGGGGCTTTGCAAATGTGAAGTGCTCGCACACTCTTCCATCCTCATCCTCATTTTATTTTTGAGCTCTGTACATCACGTGTCCAATTCCAGGTACAGGAAATGTAGGGCCAACTAGATTGTTCCTGGTGCAGTCTATAGAAAAGATGCCCAAGAGAACTGGAAGTAGCTATTTGATTTTTTTACCAATAGAAAATAACCCCAATTAAGTTATTCTGCAATAAGGTGAGAGCTCAGCTTGTACCTTTTCCTGTGAATCTTGTACACTTTCCTATGCCACAGATGGCAACTTGCTCCAGCTACATTTAAGCAAATTGAGGTGAGAGAGTCATAGACTGAAGAGGAAGGGATGAGGATGAACTGCAGGATGCAAATGTGCTGATGTTAGAGGGAAAGAGAGGAGGGTAATGAAGAACCAAGTATGGCTAAATGGGGCCAATAAAAGGCAGAATTGGGAACTGTTTCTAGTGGTCCAAGTTGGGGTCATCCCTGGGGATGCCTGGAATCTTCCCTAACACCCAGTTTCTCTCTGTCCCCATGACGTCTTCCTCTATCATAGTATCTATTTCACTGTTTTCCTGCTCCATCCTGTTCCAACTCAGCTATCCATTTCCTTGTGTTCTCATTCTCCATCCCCCTACCCTCCATTCCATCCCATATACCTATGCTCATAGTGCCTGTCATTACCCAAAGGTTCTGTGACTATAAGTTTTGACACCACAGATCCTTGTTACCTATGAGTATCCATCATTCTTTCACTCCAGCTGTCCATCCATTTTGATGGCCCATCCCTTTTCCTCTGTTCACTCACCTGCACTTCTCTCCACTCAACTACATCTAGCAGGAACATTCGCTAAACATTGCCTTCCCTCACTTCCAATGTAACTACTTGCCAATTCACTCTCAAATACTACCCGTGCCATGGGGAGTTGGTGAGGACCAAGAAGAGAACCCCAATATGAGCATAGATATATGAGGTGGAAACAACCTGTACTCCGGACTCAGTGAAGGTAAGGACTCTGTGCTCCATGTCCTTGTTGGTGTTTATATTTAGCATGTCTGAGACCATCATATATCAAAAAAAGTAGCTGGGAATAAAATTTTATCTCTGAAGATGAGGAAACCCAAAGGATCTATAAATTATTAAAATAAAGTAAATGAAAGCTTAGCAATATTAGTTCAAAATTTAGAAATGTCTTTGTACCATCAATGACCAGAACAAGGATCATTAATTCAGTGTGGAGGAACAGAAACATAACAAGGCCATTCATTGAGACTCTTGAGTTTAATGAGGATTAATCTATAAATGTCTAGAATGCTTTAGGAAAGGAGTAGAGAACTGGAGGAAAAGTAAAAAGGCCATGTATCAGATGATCATGGAGGTGAGGTGAACTAGGACCCACTCTCAAACCTAAGCAAAGGATGGGACAGTGAACTGTGAAGATGTCCTGTCACTGAAGGAGTTGGCTTCCATGTGTTAAAACCACCAGAGACCAGTGTCCTTTAATAAAACATCATGGCAAAGGATTTGACACCCACTCACCAGCTGCATCTACTCACCATCCCAGTGTTTTAAGTGCTCAGCTCCCTGTGCAACTTTAGATTTTTCTCCCATCCAGGGCTCTTCATCAACATGAAGATCATAACTGCTTTGAGAACTTGTCACCCTTATGTAGACATGATTAAAGATTACCCACTTAAGCTTGGAGTCCTGTCATGGCTAAGAAAGGGACAGCTTCATGGGCTACATAACACAAACAACCATTTCTGTCAGGCCATTCTGCATCCTCCAGGGACCACAGAAATGGGGAATACAAGCACACACACAGAGGCAAGAAACAAGCTACATGTGTGGGCCCATGTATTGGCTCCTCTGCTAAGGTTCTGACTAGTATAGACCTTGTCCTCAGCATCCAAGATAAGTGAAATGTCTTAACTATGAGAATGCAAGGCAGGAAAAATGGAGAAAGATAAACATGCAAAGATGAATTCAAGAAAGTAGGTGTGTCTATACTATAACAGGATACAGAAGTTCCCTTTTACCAAGGCTGTTTTTTCTTTAATTTCAGTCAACTCTGTTCTGAAAATATTAAATGGAAAAAATTCCAAAAATACTGTTTTAAATTGAGTGTCATTCTTAGAAGCATCAGATTTTATTCCACCCCATAAATCTCTTTATCAAGCATTTTCATACTGTTAGCTACTGCCTGTTAGTGATTCAGTAGCCCTCTTGGTTTTTGAATTGACTGTCACAGGGCTTGTATTCAAATGCTTATTTTACTTAGTAATGACCCTGAAGCATAAGAGCTGTGATGCAATGTTTTTTATATATCTTAGAGAAACCTTTCATTGAAAAAGTGAAAGGTCTGAACTTAATAAGAAAAAAAATATAACTTGATGTTGCCTAAGCCTATAACTGAGAATGAATCTTTGGAGCCAGGTGTGGTGGTACATCTGTGATCCCAGCACTAAGGAGGCAGAGACAGGAAAATCACAAATTCAAGGACATCCTGGGATACATAGTAAAACCCTGTCAAAGAAGAAAGGATACAAGGTGATGGAAGCAGTAAGAGAAAGATCTTCTGTCCATGAGCTTGTGAGGGGAAAAAACTTTCCTGCTAATTTTGCTGTTGTACCTCAAAATGCGAATGTTACAGCCACAGTGCTCAGTAAGGTCATAAGTATGCTAAGCAAGGCATTAAATTACAGGATTAGCTACTTTCCATGGTTTTAGGGTTTTGGGACTTTACCAATGTCTTTGAACATACTCCCTGCAGATGAAGGACACTCTGACTCACAGATTGGATGCCTTAAACAATAAACACGGTTCTGGACATGGTGAAGTCCAAGATCAAGGCACTCAGAAAAACCTGTGTCTGGTGATGCCTGGCTTCCTGGTTTGCAGATGGCATCTTGTATCTGCAGAAAGAAACTCCTTTTCAATTAAGATACTAATCCTATCATAGGGGCTCTGCTATCATGACTTCATCTAATTCCAATTAATAGAGAAAAGCCCCACGTCCTAACCCTATCCAATTGAAGGTTAAGGTTTTACATCACTGTGCTTGGGGCACAGTGAGTGCAAACATGCAGTCTGCAACAGTAGCCAAGTACTTGAATGTATTTCGGTTCAAAAATTTCATAATTCTGAAAATAATTTTGAATGTAAACTACAAATTAGAAAACTGCTAACAAAATAAGAACTGATTATAAAATTCGAAGAGAAAAACATTAACCAGAATGAAGAAATATATCTTGTATCAATAAAAGAAATTATATTTGTCAACAGATATGATAATTGTAGGTGTGTCTCATTTACAAGATAGGTTTAAAGTCTATGAAGCAATCCAAAAGAAGTGGTAAATCTTGAATTATACAGAAATAGAAATTAATACTCCTTTCAGTGCAAACAAGGAAAAATAATGACTTACTTGATAACAGTTACTAAGCTTGCTGCGTTATGAAACAGACATAAATGAAATGTGTGTACATGTATATGGGAGAAACATTTACAAATAGTATAAGTAGATGATCATAAAGGTCCAGCAGACCATGAGTGGTGGCATGTGCCTTTAATCCCAGCACTAGGAAGTAGGGGCAGACAGATCTCTGAGTTTGAGGCTAGCCTATACTATGTAGTCAGTTCCAGGACAGATATGTACAAAGACCCTTTCTCAAAAGAAAAAAAAAGAAAAAGAAAAGCCCAGCAAATCATAGGCACATGTTTGTCTAGTTCCAATACAATAAAATAAACTTCTGCTATCCTAAATAACTCTTGTATTAAAATTTTAATTAATGTATGAACATATGAGAAATAGATGAGTATACAGATCAGGGGCATCTGAATAAAACTAGAAAAACCACTGCCTGTTGTGTAATACTGGTATCTCAAGATCATATCTCTTCATTGACAAGCTAGAAATCCTCAAACTCACTGGACACTGCAGTAAGGATGTTTTGTGGCCGGGCAGTGGTGGCGCACGCCTTTAATCCCAGCACTCGGGAGGCAGAGGCAGGCGGATCGCTGTGAGTTCGAGGCCAGCCTGGTCTACAAAAGCGAGTTCCAGGAAAAGGCGCAAAGCTACACAGAGAAACCCTGTCTTGAAAAAAAAAAAAAATTTGTACAATATGTTTTGACCATATTTACCTCTCCCCCGCAACTCCTCTCAGATCCATACCCCCTTTTCTACACACCTGTACTGGCTGCTTTTGTGTAAACTTGACACAAACTAGAGGAAGGAGGCTTGGTTGACAAAATACCTCCATGAGATACAGCTGTAAGGCATTTTTTCAATTAGTGATCAATGGGGGCGTGCCCAGCCCGTTGTGGGTGGTGTTATCCCCAGCTTAGTGGTCCTGAGTTCTATAAGAAAGAAGGCTGAGCAAGCCAGGGGAAGTAAACCAGTAAGCAGCTCGCCTCCATGGCCTCTGCATCAGCTCCTGCCTCCAGGATCCTGCCCTGTTTAAGTTCCTGTCCTGACTTCCTTCAATAATGAACAGAAATATGGAAGTATAAGCCAAATAAACCCTTTTCTCCCCGACTTTCTTTTTGGTCATAGTGTTTCATCACAGCAATAGAAACCCAAACTAAGACACCACTCAACTTTGTATCATTTAAACACTGTTCAAGTCCAATTTGTGCTACCCATATATTGTTGGATGCATGGCCTTCCATTGAATCATGAGCCATGGATGATGACAAGGAAGCAGTGTCTTCTAGACACAGCAAGGCAGTTGCACATATGAATTTACAGTGGTTGTAACAGCATATGTAAGACTGAATTCCAACATGAAGAGAGAGCATGATGTCCCAACCCTAGCTGAGGAGCTATTGGTAATTGTTAGCTACTGAAAGAGGAAGAGTCCATTTCTTTAAGAATGTAGCCCCTGGTAAGTTGATTATACACCAGTGGAAGGCCACACATAAAAGGATGAGCTTTCTGGTGGCACAAGATCTACAAAATTTGATGGTATGGTGGCACACACATTTAATCCCAGCACTTGGTAGGCAGAGGCAGGAAGATTTCTGAGTTCAAGGACAGCCTGGTCTGAAAAGTGAGTTCTAGGACAGCCAGGGATACACAGAGAAATCCTGTTTGGGGGGGGGACAATAAATCTACACAGTTAATTGGATAGCTGGCAAGTTTATCATAGAAGGCCTCAAAGGGTAGTAGAATCAAGAATGCTACTGCCACAGTTTGGCATGGCATTGTTCTGTACCATGTTGCACTCCACTTTTATGGACTCCCTCTGTATATCACGAGAATGACCAAACAGCTACACCACCAGTATGTGGGTGAAAACACTTAATGAAGATTGACTTCAAGGTATCTGAGTTATCCATTCACATAGGAAAGTTCAGCCACCCACTTGGATTCCACTACACAGATTCTGTACCCTGTGAGACCTGTGGCATGAACAAGAGAACAACATGCCACCCAGAGTATAATAGGAATTGTTCTATGTGTGGGTTATTGATTTGGAGGACTCAGAGAAGAAAGAAAATATCCCTAAGAACCCTAATGGCAGGTAGGTGAGCTGCTAAGGCAGAGATGTTAGACTAAGGACTGGCCCCTACACACCCAGCCACAGTTATTATAGCATTCAGTTATTTGTTGAAGATGTCATGTTTTGAGTCCCTCCCTGTAGGAATATCAAGATTACACACTTGGGTTATGCAACTAAAGAGTTAGACTAGATTCAAGGGATCTTATACTTCTTCCCAAGGACTCAGGGAGGTGGTTGTCCTATTAAATTTAACTAGGAGATGGATGCTGGGCCTTAGGACTGCCTAAGAAGGCCACCCAGAGAGGAAGTTGGTGCCCAACCTCCTTCAGAGACCAGACAGCTGCCACAATGTGGGTAGGGACAATAGCATCCACACTGCTATGTTTGGGGCCATCTATAGAACTACCCCCATGAGGATTTGGACCATAGTCCACTCTGCCTTGTTAGTAGAAATTTCTATGACTTGAAAGGTGGTTATAAGGACTCATAAGCTCCTGTGTAAACTCATAAATTCTATGTAAACAGAAAACACTAGCTGACACCAAAGATTCCAACCAACCACTAGTGGAATATCAGAGTGAGCACCCAAAGTGACAGGCGGCATGCACCATGATGACTTAGTCCAGAGTTCACAAAGCTATTTCTCAGGGAGCTCTGGACTAGTGCTAGTCCTGGCTAACTGTCCATGGTAGGGAATATTATTAGTTTCATCACATAGAGCAATGGGCCACACCTATTGACTCCCATTTAAATCACACTTATATATAGCACACAGCAGCCAGCATTATGACCAGCTCATGATTATGCTGATTGGTGCAATCAAATTAAAAACACTAAGCTAAAAATAAGTTAAATTGAAAACAGAATAAGGATAACAAGAGGTTGAAAAAGGTGGATTTGATAAATGCATGCTATGTGCATGAATATAAATAATAAATGAACTCTGTTATCATGTACAATTAATACATGGTAGTAAAATGTTTTCAACAGGGGCCAGCAAGATGGCTCAGTGGGTAAAAGCTCAGTACGCAAGCCTAATAATTTGATCCCTGGAACTCAAATGGTGGAAGCAAAGAACAGACTCCTGCAAGTTGTTCTCCAACCTCCACAAGTGTGCACCCTAGCATGCATGCACCTATACACAATTAATTAATTTTAAAATGAATCCAATTGCATATCAAATTGTCAAGAAATACGCAGCAGTCCCCCTACCGCATCTCTAGTGAATGCTACATATCTTCCCCTCTTAGCCTTCCCCGCACTCTTTTATTTACCCCCTCAACTCCAGCAGGCAGTCCCTACAAACAGGCTACTCCAGCAAGGGAAAGAGGTAAGCTAACTACAAATGCATCTCACCTTCTGCTCCTCAAAATCAAATCCCCCAGTCCCATTCCCAGCTATGCAACAGAACATCTGTTTTAGCCTCAGCTCCCTTCATGCACCAATCTCCAACTGATCCCACAGATCTTCCACTCCTAATCTCCCTCCCCCAGTACTTGCTTTATTCCAGCCCCCAACTCCAGCAGGCATTTCCTGGGTACCCACAGGGAAGCAAGTAGAATAACTAGAGACCCTCTGAAGGGTTCACAACGCGGTTACATTTACTGGGCGGACACTTCCGCCTAGCCATTTCCGCATCAAAAGCGTCCCGTAGCTAGGATACCTGATGGGCCCGGATATCTCCGCCCAGCAAGTTCCGGGCCAAGGGGTCTCGCGTGATCAAGAGTCCCGTGGCATTGCATGGTGATGTAAGTGCGCAACATGACCATGTGATCTACGCACACTCGTAGAGTAGTGACGTGACCTGGCCATGCCCCCAGCCGGTTTTAAAAGTCCGGTGCGATATTCCCCACTCTCTTCTCCACGCACGGGTCTCTCCCACAGGCCTGCACTTTCTGTCCTTTGTTTTCTAATAAACTCTATAAACGGATTCTGTCGTGTTTCGTGACGTTTCCTTGCAAGGGGTAAGAACACAACGCAGACAGAAAACTAACACCCTCATCTCTCTTTTTGCTCCTCCAAGTCCAATCACAGCTTTCTAGGAGATCTATTTGCCTTCTCCTCACTCCCTATCCCCATTCTTAGGGGACTACCTAAGCAGATCCCTGTGGCTGCATTCCTGCTGAGCTCCTGGCCTAGTTCCAGAGAGTAGCACCTAGCCCTAATCCTTCTATTGTTTAACCACACCTTTTGTTTCTCTTACTTTCTGTTTCTCTTATTTCCCTATGTGAATCTTGTCTGAGAGTCAAGGATCAGAGAGACTCCCAAAGATCAAGGGCCTATGCAAAACTTGGTTCAGGAAACCTGGAAAACTGTGGTGCCTGAGAAATCAAGTAATTTGCACTTGGCATTTTATCACTGAGAGCTCCTTTCAGGTTGCTTTGAAGGTATAGAAATTAACTGGCTAAACTGTAATTAGAGAGAAATAAAAATGCCCTAGGTGAAGGGATGATGCTTCAGTCCTTTGAGGCTAGAACCCCCTGCAGCCATGAAAGGCTATATTCATTCTTAAGATGCCTCTGAGTCTTCTTTACCTACATGAACCCACACACTCCTGTCATGACAAACAGCGACAGATCCCCATGGAACATCCAGATTTCTTCCTCTTTGCAAAGCCCCACCACCATCCCCAGCACATTGTAATACTAAGTCTCAGGCCCCAATTCCCAGAAAAACATTTTTTTCCTGGAATCCCCCATGCCCACAAAGGCACCCAAAGATTTCCTACAGGCAACACACTGCCACCACACTCTCTTGTAAACAGATTGTTCTCTACCAACTG